TGATGCTTTAATGTCCGACATCGACTGACTCACCAACTCACTGAGCTACTTCGCGACTGCTACTACTACTACTTATTATATGTGGGAGAGTCTATTAACTATAGAATAGGTGTGTTCCAGTATAACAATAAGCCTGTTCCTTGAGTGGCTCTTGTGAATTGAGTTACGTGAACAATAGCAAAAGAATAATCTCTGAGCTTTGCGTAAACACGAAAAGGTTGGAGGACGTCTCGTTTTAAATTCAGTCATCAAAGCAATAAAGATAATGATATCCCCCCCCATACAGAAGGACGAAGATTTACCATAGAACACTAACCATCAATTAAAGTTACGCCACTACTAACCATGGGTATATCATAATCGATTTTGAAAATATCAAAAAAAAAATATATATATATATTAAATATAAATCTATATTTGAAATATTTTACATGCAGGCACTTCAAACTTTGTACTTTGAGATAATATTAATAGGAACTGAAAAACATATTATTTAGGTAAGAAAATCAGGTACTGAAAATTGTAATTAAAAATAGGAAAATTTTTGCTGGGTACTATATACACATAGTGTTCTAGAGTTAATTTTGAATCCTGTGGATTGATAAACATTCTTTTGTTACATTTCGGGATTAATCATTTTTATTATTAATATATATCACATATTTTATTCATTTGATTGTCGCATTTTATTACAAAAAACTAACATAAACGTGGACCGTTAATGTGGCAGGATTGTGAATATATCCGGATATGAGATTCGAATTCATTTCTTACTTTGCTCTGTCGCTGGATCCTAGAATAAGTAAAATGCATCCACTGGAGATGGTTAAGGTCCCTATCAAATTGACCACACCCCAGCCGGACGATAACAGACTCTAGTAAAAAAAGAAAAAAACAAACCCTGACCAATGTTTACCTATACACCCAGGTATAAACCCGACCAGTGTTTACCTGTAGACTAAAAAAATAATAAAAATCTAATTCGCCAGGGCCACACTGAACAGGTCAGCGACACAAAGTTGCTATTCTCCCACATGGACAATGTCTTAACAGGTTCAGCCACGGAAACATTGTGTAGATGTAACATTGATCTGTACTCACATTTCTAACTAACCAGTCAGATTATTAGACAGATAAAATTGGTTAAATCTATATCATAAACAAAGAGCTAATTTTCTGTCCGGCACACATATATTTCATGTGCCTCTACAAGTGCATATCAGTATATATATATATATATATATATATATATATATATATATATATATATATATATATATTAAGAAATGGACAAAGTCCGACAATTTATTTATTAACGACATTTTTTTAATGTTTAACCTTCTTTTTATAGATACAAGTATTTAAGTAAATGCTCTGTTTATAATAAACAGTATTAAATAACATTTACCGGCCTGAATGTCCGAGAAATTTTCATAGAAAATATTCGTTCTTTGACAGGATTCGAACCTGCATCCTATACGGAACTTTGTCCATTTCTTAACATATGACGTCATTTGTTTACATTTGATACGCCAGAGCAGTTATGAATGTACGAGATTCATGGAAGATTGAAGTTTATAAGCAGTAAATTCGACCTTGCTTACCGAACGCTCCTTTGTGGCCGATCGGTAAGGCACGTCAGCGTAAATGCAGGTTCGAATCCTGTCAAAGGACGAATATTTTCTATGAAAATTTCTCGGACATTCAGGCCGGTAAATGTTATTTAATACTGTTTATTATAAACAGAGCATTTACTTAAATACTTGTATCTATAAAAAAACGTTGAACATTAAAAATGTCTTTTATATATATATATATATATATATATATATATATATATATATATATATATATATATATATATATATGTCTGTATATATCTAGATCTCTGAGATGAGGTATTATGATTACTTACATTATCTACATCATTCGGACTGTTATCCTCATCTTCATCGCCATATTCACAACGTTTCGACCCGTTGTATGCCCCTTCGTCAGGTGATTGGAATTTCGAAACGAACTTGGCCCAATGGATAAAGGCATTGGTTAGATTCAGCGACTAGACCCAAAGAGTTGTGAGTTCAATACCAGGCCACAGCAGTGGTGAGCCAAAAACTTGGAGAGTTGAGTTAAAGGGGAATAACTGAGACATCCGGAAGAGGCATGGCACGTGGAACTAGATCAGTCTACCCCCGCCAATGACGACGTTTTATATATCTTCCCGAGATAAATTCTTACATTCTGCTCATTTAAATTGCTTTAATATTTGAGAAAGTACACGAAAAAAATGAGTAAAAGGTCTGCTTCGAACTTTTTTTTCTCTAAGTTTTTGTCCGTCACTGAAGCATTCTGGTATTGAACTCACGACTCTTTGGCTCAAGTCACTAGTTTCAACTAACGCTTTTATCCACTGGGGCATGTGCCTTTGAGTTAAAGACAGATAACTGAGACGTTCAGAAGCGGCATGTCACATTGAACTAGAACAATCTCACCCCGTGTA